CGACTCCTGCACATGTGCAATTTTTTATTAAAAAAATAATGAAATTAGCTGTGTAGGAGTTGAATTTCAAAAAACTAATTCGTAATTATTATTGCATACATTATATTACTGGACTATGTTTAACATTTTAAGCGTCTGCAGGACAAACGAACAATAAACAATTAATTGTTTTACACTAATTATTCATTTTTGGACATATATATTTGGACAGGAAATTTGCGACAGCACAAAAACTTAATGTCTCTTAGAAATACACTCACTCCATCTGTTATATTTCACATCCATGTGTCGCCATGATTCTGAACTTTATCATTGACAATTCTTTCCTCAGATTCTGAGACAATTGCCATTAAAAAAAATTGTCCTCATTTTTATCCAAGAAACTTTCATCTATTCTCCATAATTTTTATCGAGAAGTTTTCCCTAAGAGTGAAAGAATGAAAACCACCAGCTGCCGAGGAACGTCGTAGTTTCCATTTCTCAACGCTGGCGGTGGAACAAAAGAGCACCTGTCTCGTGAATGCAATGCCGGGGGTTGTGTCGAGTAGAGGCAAAAAGAGATGGAGAGGGAGGGATAAAAGTTCTTGGATGTCCTGTTATTCGCAGCGAAGGGTGGGGGTGTGTGGTGAGGTACAAGGACGGAATGCAGTGAGGGCTTCGCGTATTACAGGGAGTAATGACGTCACAAGCGACGGGGTGTGGCCTCGGGTTGACGTGACGTCACGCGTCGCTAGATTTCCTGGAATAATCGGGTCAATCGCTGCTCACTACACGTTGGTAGAATAGCACGATAAGTTTACTGTGTTGGGATCGATTATCCATCGATGGGATCACTTTACAGTTATATGCGCTTTGGGGACCGACATTCCGTCCCTCTTGATACATTATGAGGGAGTTGAATATGAGGATGTCCTTGACCTTTCTGATTTTCAAGTGTGACGCGTATTCAATACGCGTTTTAGAAACATTATTTTAGTACTGTAGAGGCTTCGTATAAGATACCTCACTCTCGGCACTTTTATCGCCTCCCGAATGTTTATGTTCCGTGGGCTTCTTATAAAATACCTATGCCCCCGGTCATTTTTCAACGGAAAGAGAGTAGTTATAAGGATCAAACGGTGTTAAGGGTCAAACGGGAGGGACGAACTGAGTGATCATGAGGGTCTAATGACCTTAAGGGGGGGACACACCACTTTTTTCAAGTAATGTATTTCAAGTAAACAATCGTAATTTTTCGTCTGTGGTTATTGTCGAGTTCACCACTAATCCCCCAACATCAGCTGCCATTCTATCACGCGGGGTTGTTTAGAGAGAAAAGAGAACGCGGGCGATACAAATTCAAAACATTAAACACATATATATGCGTTCCCCATGTAGATACGCTTGTCTGTTATCAAACGAATAATTCACAAACAATAAACTTTTTAATTTAATCCCAATAAAAAAACCAGACATGCAATTGATTCCAATAAATTTTTATCACCAAAGTGAATTTTTCCGCCGCCATAAAATCCAATATAAAAACAGATGAAACCCCTCGTATTTATCTAACAGCCAATTTCCGAATGGAACCCCCGCACGACATCTCCAATGAATCAAAATACAGTTATATTAGTTGTACAACTTGCATGCACGAGTGTCACACGAGTGTACAACGGTGATGGAGAGATTGACACTATTGCCAAGGGCGGGGAGGATTAATGTGACCCTGCAGAGCGTTAGTTGATGTACAACAAATGATTTCATACGCGTAGGAAACTGTCCCATTGGGAACGAAGTTTCACGCGCTGTATGTATACTCCTGACATCCTCTAGTACATCTCTGTTGTGACGCTGGTTTGGAATTTACTCCATGGCCCCTTGTGCGCCGCCAACGATCATTTTCCGCCCCCACGTTTGCAATCTCGCTATTGACGATCGTTATCAACCATTCTGAAGCACGCCCAAGCATGACAATGCTGTAGCATTCCTGAGAAGCTTCTTTACAACTGTCGGTCGATTCAGGGGGGGGGGGACAATGGAGAATTTATTTTATGCCACTCATGAATTAGACACGAGACGCGAAGCGTCGAGTGTGTAATCCAGCCGGTTTCAGGCTTCGCGACATAAAATTTTGTTCAGTACTTGTTGGGAAATTTCGTCCTTAACGTGTGTGGTTACATCACTCGCCTTCGGTTCATGTAAACCCCACACACGTTAAAGACGAAATTGCCCCACACGTGCTGAAATATACTATTATATGATACGTGCGTGTAACCGCATGGGTTTCAGTTCACTATAGTCGACTGGAAAGTAGCGGGTTTCAAGCGCCTACCCACACTCAACTGAAACCCACTGTTCTAACAGTTGAGTGTGGGTAGGCGCTTGAAACCCGCTACTTTCCAGTTGACTATAGTCAACTGAAACCCGAAATAACGCATGACGCGCATGCGCATCACCTATTAAAAGAGAATAACAAGGAAGGAAATCTAACCTCCGAATAGTGAATACATGGAATGACTGAAAAATGAAAAGGTGATTTTCGAAGCAGATAAAATGAGCCAAAATCGTATAATTCCTGATAGTGATGAAGAGTTAGGCAGTGAGAAGAATTTATTTACTGATGAGGAGTTTATTGGTGATGTGACATTTGAAGAAAATGGAAATAAAATATTCTCCGATTTTTCAATTACGTTTTGTATCATATTTTTTTATAATTATAACTTTCTTTTTTTCGCGACTTCTTAATGATTTTTTAAAAATTGTATTTTGTAATTATTATAATTAATTTTTTTCAATTAAAAATACTTTACAAGTTTTTTGAACTACATATTTAATGAATATGGGCTTGGTATGGGCTTCGCCCCCCCCCCACCGGGGGCTTTGCCCCCTGGACCCCCTTTTCTCGTGGGCGGCTGCGCCGCCCTCGTGAGTAACCGCCTGCTTTCCGCACTAGTTGCGTAATGTACTATTTGGTTGGAGATGGGAATTCTTACATCTTGCTTTGTAAGGAACTGTAGACATGCAGTGAGGAAGAAAATTACTTTTGACAAAGATGATTTCCTTGATACAATAAAATATTCTCTTGTCAATTTCTAGAATCGTGAAATCTCCTGGTAAATAATTTTGTGTTAACACTGGGAGAAAAAAGTTTTTTAAGAGGATGAGATTCTCTTGTCCTGAGAAAATTTTCAAGTGTTGGCATAATTCTTCAAATAAATCCATATAGTTTGTGTTATATCTAGAATTTACTGGATTGTGAGAATTCACACTTTCCTGATCGGATTACTCATCATCTCCAATTGAGGAATTCTTGTTTCGATTCCACGACGAACACTTTCATTATCAATTCAGTAGTGAAGTGGTGAATCGGGTTAAGTCGACTTAGCTCCTAGTTGAGTTTTTATTGAGTAACTCAAAATTTAAGGGTGTATTACACCCTTTTCGCTAAAATTCACATTTTTTTAATTTTTCTAGTAGATTGTTGATCGGATTGATGTAAAAGAATATACCGTTTTTGCGTTTTATCATTACATAATGACTCACGAAATTTAATGATCGTGCAATCATTTTCCTGCGTTTTTTCTGAAACTTTTCGGAAATTCACAAAACTTTAGAAAAAAAGCAGGAAAATGACTGCACTACCATGAAACTTCATGAGTCAGTCAATAATGATAAAACGCAAAAACGGTATATTATTTCGCGTCAATCCGATCAATAATTTGCCAGAAACATAAAAAAAACGTGAATTTTTTCCCGAAAGGGGGTAGTACATCCTTAAGAAAAATAGCGAAATTTTTGTAAGATCTTTTGCGATAGTGTTCACTCCTCGTTACAAAAAAGATTTTTAGGAAAATTTTGCTAACTTCTTTAGAATTTGAGATATTCATCGAGAACTGGCACTAGAATGGAATTGACTTAAACCGTTCGATCATTTCATTAATTCAAGTGTATAGAAAATTGATTTCAAGTGTTGTGCTCTTTGTGCAAGATTTTAGGTAATCAAAATCCTGGTGAAAAGAAAATCTAGATATAACGGAAACTACGTGAATTTATAGGAAGGACATCATTTCTAGTGTTGAGAACGCTTAAAAATTCTCTCGGGACAAGAGAATCTTATCCTGCTAGAAAACGGAATTATTTATCGGGACATTTCACGATTTTTAAAATTAAATTGACAAAAGAATATTTTCTAGAATCAAGTAAATCTTCTTTGTCAAAAGTATTCGATTCTCTCAGTGTGAGTGTACTACTCCAGCTGTAATAATTCGACGAATTATGAATCTATACCCAAGTGGACCACATATTTGATCAGGTTAGCCCTGCTAATTCAGCTTGAGCGAAATTTCCACTCGGGTCGGTTGCCTGATTTGTGGCCAGATCAGGCAACCAATGCGGAACCGAGGCCCTTCTTCAGAAATCTCTTATCAATTGGAAAAGATCGATTGAATGTTGTTGCCATTTTGAGGCTGGAAATTCTTTTGCGGCATATTGGCTTTCACTGAAGAACGGGATTACAATCCAGATTTCACCTTTTTATTCAACTTCAAGAGAAGAGAACAAATTTAATTCCATAGACAGGATGTAATTTAGGCTGTAATTTAATACAAAGACTAGTAATTTTCAGGAGAGAGGCATTCAAGGAAATTTAGGGAGAAAAAAACCATGAGATTTGACATTTCATTGCTGAAAATTCGTAAAATCCCAACTTTTTTCGCAGCATTAAGACGAAAATTCTTCAAATTATTTAAATTTCTCGCGAGAACATTAATATTCCGTGTTAAATTACTCTAAATTTTCGATTTATTGAAATTCCCAAAATATATTCAATGGAATTTTGCTGATTTCTATTAATTTTCACGGAGCGATTTGAGTGAAATATACAGTTGTCATTTATTCTTCCACGAAATTAGAAATTTTCAAATACAAAGTTCCTTGAAAGTTCAGTTGAAGTAAAATTAACAATTGTAAAATTAACTGTTTAATAAAAAAAATACATCAGATATATTTTTCAATTGCAGAAACAAAGCATGATGGTCAGACAACTCGAGGAAGAACTGAGAATGCGGATGCGAGGTCCTAGTGTCGAGATGCAGCAGCAAATGGAGGTACTTTACAACGAGAATGAGCACCTAACGCGGGAGATCGCCATCCTAAGAGACACAATAAAGGTGAGACACTTTGATGAAACCAGCCGCAATATTTACGCCCAGCTTTAATGTCCAAACATAATCAGCCATCGCCTTTATGAAGATTGAACCAGAATTTAATCAACTTTTACGAATTGACGCTCGTCATTCTTACGTAAACAACACGAGAGACAAAAAAAAACACCCGTTGAAGTCAAAGAACTTGACTTTATTATGTGCGACACATTTCCGGGAGAATAGACAGAAATGTTTTAGCGTAAGCGGTACAAAGAGCAAAGGGAATGCAAGAGCCGAAGGAAATGCAAAGGATCCCAGTGGTAAAAGCATTTTAGGTCAGGCGTGAATTCGGCAACGATGCTAGAGACTCGAGCCTCCAGCACTGCTCGATTATGAAAGTCCTTGCCACAAAGCAGTTAACAATGGGCATCCCATCGTCTGGAAGATATATATACTCCGCTTCCTCTCTCTCTCGGCCTTTTCTGCCATTGTCAACACGAGAAAATCCTTCAAATCATATACCCTCGACGGCAGTACCGAAGAAACTATTCTCAACATTTCTCAATAAATTGAATGAAGTTGTGAATCGGAATTTTCTTTCAAGGATATCCAAGCAATTCAGGCTATTTTTTCTGGGGAATATCCTCTTCAGAGTTTATAGAATAGATCTAGAGTATTTTTTAGGCGCAATGATATTAATGTTGAGGTTATGAAAATGTTCTGAAACTAAACTTGATAAGTTTAGTTTATACACTATTAGATTTTTTTTTTATTTCATGGAGAATCTGATAGTAATTTTCATAACAGTGACATTGAATTGGATTTAGGGAAAAAATGGTTATGGATTTTTAAGGTTTAGGTAGAAGTCACGGAAATGCATGAGTTTTAAGTGGAAGTGAGACGGAAATTTCACAACTTGATTGAATTTTCAGTGGAACACGGATATTCAGAAACAAAATGACATGAATTTTCAGTTTTTCCCTGAATTTTCCCGATTTTTATGAATTTTCACAGAATAATTAAACTGAAAAATCAAGTATTTTATTGATTTTTAGATCATTTGAACTGAAAATTAATGCAATATCTAGTTTTTCAATGACAATATTCCCTGAAATTTCAGTGGAAATTAAACACGATAAAAATTTCCAGGATTTGGGACGAAAAATTCAGATGAACATTTTTAACAGTGTGGTCTTAAAGCGTTTTCTCGTACACATGACCATATACGACATTGTTCGCTATACTCTCTAGTTTTTTTGGGACGTTAAAAAAATAATTTTGCGGATGAATAATTGCAATCAAATTAAAAGCTTCTTGATTGGCACGACGGCCATAAATTGGGTGGTTTGGATTCGCGCGGTCCTAACGTCTTGCAACGGTCCGCTCAAGTGACTACTCAGACCCAGTGTTACCAGATCGTGACGTCACCCCATTTAAAATTGTAGAGGTTTTGGCTATAAATCGCCAAAATCTGGCAACCCTGCTCAGACCCAATTTATACCATTAGAAAGTTTTCAAAATTTAACGAAAATTGTGAAATGGTTATGAAATTTCAAGTTTTAGGTAGACTTCAAGGAAATTCATGAGTTTTCAGTTGCAGTGAGACGGAAATTTCACAACTTGATTGAATTTTCAATGGAACATGAATATTCAGGAATAAAATGACATGAATTTTCAATTTTTCTCTGAATTTTCCTGATTTTTCCGAATTTTTGCGGAATAATTTCACTGACAAGTCAAGTATTTTTTTATTTTCAGATCATTTGACCAGAAAATCAATGGAATATTTGATTTTTCAATGACAGGATTTTCTAAAATTTCAGTGGAATTTGAACACGATGAAAATTTCCGGGATTTGGCACAATTTCGGAAAAAATTTTAAATGATGGAAAATTTTCAATAGGGTAGTCTTAAAGCATTTTCTCGTTCACACAACCGTATATGAAATTGTTTCTTATGCTTTCAAGTTTTTTTTGCGATATTAAAAAACATAATTTTCCGGGCAGATAATTGCAAACAATCAAATTAAAAGCTTCTTGATTGGCACGACGGCCATATTGGGTTGTCTCAATCCGCGCGTTTCTGACGTCTGGCAACGGTCCGCTTAAGTGACTACTCAGACGCAATTTATACTTTTAGAAATTTTTCGAAATTTCACAGAAAATGTGGTAGTAATTCTCGTGAGAGCGACATTGAATCTGATTTAGGGGAAAATGACTATGAAATTTCAAGTTTTAGGTAGACTAAATTTCACAACTTGATTGAATTTTCATTGGAATATTTAGAAATGAAATGACATGAATTTTCAATTTTTCTCTGTATTTTCCTGATTTTTTCGAATTTTCACGGAATAATTTCACTAAAAAATCAAGTATTCTTTTGATTTTCAAATCATTTGAACAGAAAATCAATGAAGTATTTCGTTTTTCAGTGACAAGATTTCCTGAAATTTCAGCGGAAATTAAACATGATACAAATTTTCGGGATTTGACACGGAAAATTCAGACGAAAACTTTTAACACTGTACGAGGTTATATGGAACACATATACAGTGCTGCGGTATGATCATTAGAGGTTGGACCAACGAGAGTCAAGTGTGAAATTAAATAAACTATTGTTCACAATATTCATTGAAGAAATTCCCGAAAAAATGTACTCATAATTGAAAAATTCGAAAAAGTATGGCGATGGCAAAACTTTCGACAAATGTGAAATCTTGCTTGAAAAAAAAGTTGCTACCTTGAACGAAGTACTCGAATATCCTTAATGGAAGAAATACAATCGCCTTTTAGTGGTTCATTATAAGAGAAAATAAAAACGATCTTGAAACTGATTTTTTTCCTCGTACAAAGAGAGGTTATCGTCGAGTAATAGAGACGAAAACATAATCAGAGAGAACGAAGAGAGGGAATTCAGTGTTTACAACCCTGAAATAACCCTGACATTTTTGCCTGCGACGACCACGGAATTTTTGGCATCCCGTTGTGTTTTATTACGAGTTGACGACCTCCGAGCACTGAACTGCACAATAAAATTCCTGGCACGAGGTACCATTTATTTTATCGTGCATGAGGGTTCGTTGAAAAATCGTTGTGCATCAACATCATACCCATCTTCCGGTATTTTCATGGCGTCTCGAGACGATAGAGGCTAACGAGGGTACATGGTACTGCACATTGAGATATTCTTGCATTTTTGTGAGCTTTTGAGGAGGTTTAAGTAGGTGGGGTGCCATTCAAATCGTGTTGATATTTTATCTTTTTTAATTTTTTTTTTCGACATTTTTCACCTTTTTATTTATTAATTTTTATTATAAAATGATAAATGAATCAAATAAAGTCTTTTTTTCAAGTTTTTCAGTTTTTGATTCCGAATAGAAGTTTTGTAACCGTACAAATTAACGTTTCCAATTTTTGGATTAGTCGTTTTTGTAGCGAAGCTACTTATATATATTTATTTCATATTATTTCAATGTATGGTGTTCGGGCTTGGCTTAACGACCTTACCCCAACACCTCGCGACGATTCGTAATAATTCGGGGGTGCAGGATTAATACCGTTGTCGCGAGAGCACACTCTCGTTCCAGCTCTCATGGTGTACATCAAAGCTACGTTTGCTGTGAATAAATCTAATTCGATATATATTAATTCCGAGCGGTATACGTTACAAAACCCATCTATTCTTTCCCGAATTTCCACATTTTTTCTTCATTTTTTTCGAAAATTTCTTAAAACGCATCAATTAAATGTTATGATTTTTTTCACAGATATACACTTTAATAAGTTCTATTTATTCATCAGGTTCTTTTTATTCGTTAATAAGTTTTATTTATTTATATTTGAAACCAATTAATTTATCATTGCTCAAAAAGTTGATAACAGTATCCTCTTGATTCTATCAGATTATGATGGGGTCGTCCAATTTTTTATTGAGTACATCACGTTGTTTATGCGTTGTTGTTTGTAAGAGAAAATCAAGTTTTTCATGATTACTGCAAGAATTATCAGTATTAGAAACTAAATTAAAGTCTCAAAAAGTAGATTTCAATACCTTCTTAATCTAGTTGAAAAATGGTGAGAACAGTATTATTGCTTATCTAGGTACACAATACCGTCATGAGTTTTTTATACCAGGAATTCTACCTGTTAAATTCAGGTACCAGTCTATTATGTTAAATACTTATTCATCACTTATTCAATATGAATACTTATTCATGTTGATTTATAGTCCCGACTAACTACTGACGGAACTTGGGTTAAACTCATTGATTAAACCTTGACTAAACCTTAATTAAGCCCGAACTGAGAACGAATTCGAGTCTTAAGAGGCTCCGAATGCAGAATTACTTGACGAAACGAAATAATACGCGACATTTTGATGACATTTCAATTGATGATAGCACTATGACATTAAAAGATAGAAAATAAAATATTAAAAAAATAAAATAAAAAAAAAGATAGAAGAAGAGACTAGTGGAATAAGAATTTCAAAAAAAAAGAAGCTATTTGCAAACAAATGGCTAATTTAGTAACACCAATAACTATTTCTCATTTATATCATTTATAAAAAAAATGCAATAGTCCACTTATTGGTTTTCTTTCAATGATATTATCGGTTTCATGTTTTGAGGGTAAAGAAATGATTAAATTGATCAAATTTATTCCTTTCGAATAAATTCATTCATTCATTATTGGAGATCATTGTTAGATTAAATTGGAACAAGAAGACGAGCTTTGGCAGATAAATTATCAATTGAAAATTTAATATTATCCGTGGCATAGGACAGCATTACCGCAGCAAAGGATGAGGGTAAAATTGATTTGCAGGTTGTTCCCCGGATATCTCTGGAGGAGTGGGTGTTAGAGGATAATGACGATAAATATTATTTGGCCATGTGGTCCTCACCAAAGGATAACGAAGATTAATTTATGTGTGTCGACGTTTCGGTTTTCGTGGAAGATAATTCGATAGAGAACGACATTATGTGGACGGCCCCATCAAAAGGGCTCACTTTGTCGATATGG